AGAAAAACTTAATACGGATAAGTTTATTGTTCAAGAATGAATAGTCAAACGAGTGAGCTTACTGATGGCCAGGGCTGGCTTGTAGCATATTAAATGAGTACTGAAATAAGTAACATTTCTTATGGGAACTAAAAAGTTCGTTAATGTTGATGTTAAAAGGTCATCCATTCATTTGTTTATAACTTGAGGAAAAGTCATAAAATTATTATGTTACTGAGTGCTTGGTTACATTTTTATGTGTGATTATTGAACATACTAAAACAAAAGAGCACTAGTTAGCATTGATGCTTGATTGCCTTTTATTCATGGCTCATAACATTGAGAAAAAACAATTAAGTCACTTACTATTGATGCTTGTTCGCTGAAAACGGTAAAATAACTTTGCAGTGANATATAGCATTTTTATTAAATTTATTTGTTTCATACACACTTACAGAACTACTTAAATAAAATAAAAATTTTTTTACTTTTTTTGTGATTTTGAAAAATATTCAAAGTAATAAAAGTTGGAAAAATTATAAAAATCTTTCACAGAAGATTTTGATATCAATTCTTCGTATGAATATAATCTATGAATTTAAAGATAAATTGTCACTCAGTAAATGTATCTATTCCATAATAGATGATTTACAGCAACATAAAAACACTTAAAAAATATCATTCTATAAGTAAATTTTTTTATAACGTTTATTTAATGAGGCAGTGACTAAAAAAATATTTCAATATATGCAAACCAAAATGACAAAACTGATTCATAGACGGTCGAAGATGATCAAGCCCAACATTTTCACATGAAACATGCATTTATTTTATTCTTTAGGAAAAAAATGTATCAATGGCATAAGCTGGCATTGCATCCGTAAAACTTCAAAAAGTGTGACCAGCCATAGAACTTTTTGTTTACCACTATATTTAAACACTAGTGAAACTGGTGTATAAAAATTTGAGTCAGACTAAAAATGAAAATTTATTTTAGTTATACGAGATAAAGTCTCCATAACTCTACAACAAAGCTTTGGAAATAATAGATTAGACCTTACGTGATCTATGTAGTATGAAAATTTTTTTTAAAAACCAATTTATAGTTTAAAAGGAAGATTCTTGTCAAATACTCTCCGTTTAAAAAGTAGTAATCACAGCAGCATCAATAACGAAATAATTTAATCAGTTTTCTTTTGGTTTGAATTTTGTATATTTGCATTAAATTTTGATACTTGCAATCGCAAACCACTTTTAAAATAATTATGACAAACTTAGAATGCGAAAATAAAAATGTTTAATGACCCAAAAATTTAGAAAATAAAGGATGTTTATGGGAGAATATTTGAACAAGGTTCTTTAGAAACTAACAGCGTTACACGTACGACTTGTAATGAATGTACTTATTTCTCAAATTACCTGAAGTTCATTTAATTTTGTAAAAAGTCGGTAAATTAAAAAAAAATTTTTTCAATTTATTTTCTAACATTATTTAGTTGCGTATATTTATATTTTTTCATGTACACTATAAAATTACGTTTTTAAATTACTATTTTTTTTTTTTTTTTGATAAAGATTTTCCACATTTACAAGTAAAGAATTCAATCAGACCACAATGTTGATTTATTTATCAATTAATCTATTTGTCTGATAAGCAGTGTAACAATAAGCAGGAGGATATGAGAGGGCTACAAAAAATCAAATTGGGTATAGTGCTTCAAAAATAATCGAGGAAACAAGCAAAGGTTCCCTGCTTTTGTAAGGTACCGTAGAAGACTGTAGGGGTAAGTTGTAGTAACCTCTACCTCAATTACATTATATTGACGCTCTAGACAAAGACTATGTCCTGCTTTGTAGTCTGAATGAAGACTATGCCGTTTTCCTAAGCGTCGACAAAAGCTATACCTTTCTTTTAAGTTCGGACAAAAACTCTGCCCTTTTTCCATGTCAAGACGAACACTATGCCTTTTTTAAGCATTGACAATTACTAGCACGATCCACGATGAGTTACAATTAAAAAATAACTGTTTTCATAGGTATCAATAAAATGTCATAAGAATGTTACTAAAGAAATACTTTCATAGCATTAAACCCGTATGTTAAAAACTTTTTACTGATTATGTATCCATTATTGTAACTTTTAAATTAAATTAATTAAAAATCGCTACTTTCTTACGTCATTGAAAAAGTATTACCAAATAAAATTTGAAATATAAATAAGGTTAGAATAAAATATTTATCTTTCTAATATAACTATAGTTTGAAAATAGTACAATAGACGTATCTACTTATGTATCATTCAAGCTTTTGTATTATTTGAGAGAACGATAAAATATGTACCTAAAAATGCCAGTTTGTGATCGTTAATTTTGTAATAAGTGCAATCCATTTAAGCTTACTTTGCATTTTTATTTGTAATAAGATATTTTTGGTTGTAGGAACATTATAAAAATTTGTTTCGACGCTGTTGACGTATTAAATCATTAATGTTTTATTAATGAATTTTCAATTTTTAGGAAAATAGTTAATCTAATACTATAATTATAGAATTTATTTAAGTAGTTCTCGTCCAAGCTCAAAAAAATGAAGTTCTCGTCCAAGCTAAAAAAAGAGCATCGTTTTCGAGGAAAGGTCATATATTTTGCCCGAGCTCGGAAAGAAGGGTTTTGTCTTTGTCCAAATCAGAAAAAAGGGCCTAGTCTTCGTCTGGGGTACTAAAAGGGCATCGTTTTAGTCCAAACTAGAAAAAGGGCATAATCCTTGCCCGGGATGTCGAAAGAGCGTAGTTTTGGTCCCCTCTAGGTCTTATAAGAACTGTTAGATTCTGTATAAAAAATTTGGACCAAAAATTATAGCTTTTTTCGGCTAATCTCCCGTCTCATGTGACAAAAACTAAAGATATACAGTTGAAATAATTTACTTTCTAACCAAATCTCTCAAGTTGAAGGTAGTTCAGCAAAAAAAAAAATATATCAGTCGTGTAAGTATAAGATGGATCAAGAAAAATTCTGCGGGAGGCGGTAGAGGTATGTGGGAATGCCCTACACAAACAATTATGTATAGGGTTAACTTTGAGTTTTTATAAAAACTAGAATATTCTTTTTTTTGTTTCAATTGCCTTACAAGCTACTATTATAGTTTTCTAATAATCGTTATTATAATCAATAGTTCTTAAAAATTGTATTAAATAAAATTTTCACATTTTATCTGTTTTCATTATGAAAAAGCTTATCACATTATGCATGCTGTATTTTTCTGATAAATATCTCAAAGTATCCAATCTACAAGAAATTATTATGGATGAAAATGTAGGAAGTAAGGTATTTATTCCGCGAATCACTATAAATACTGGAAATTGTTTATCATTACCTTTCATTCTCTACAGAAAACTATTTCGATTTGTACCAGCCTTTGCAATATCAATAAATAAATTATTAGAACAAAGCTTCAATAGGATTGGACTGTACCTTAAGAAGGATTTTTTCTCTTATGGATAAGTTTTTTTTTTTTTTTTTTGAAGAAGTCAAAATGAAAAAAAATGTACTTACTAAATGATTCAAACATTCAATTCGTGCTAAAAAACATTTTTTTGGAGAGATATATTCGATCAATAATTTTTTTTAATTTTAACTAAAATTTTTTACATACATAAGATAAATCACTAGTTAACGAAAGAAAATTTTATTTAGTGGTTTTTAGAGCTCCATTATTATAAAACTATACAGTTATTTATATTGATGTTGTTTGCATTACATTATACGTAATTGTCATAAATATTTATATTATTATACTTTACTAAGATGATGTTAACATGGCATTCACGATTTCGTTGAAATTTTTTTAAAAAGCTAACTCGTCATGGTAGTACTTCAAAAGTAAAATGAATTAAGAAAGAACAATTTTAATGTAGCGATACTATACTATTCTTGATTCCATTTCACTGTAAGAGGGTGGAGAAATCCAGCAGTTAGATAAAGGTGTGGTTAACAGGTGGCAAAGGAGCAGTAAAGAGGCAGCAAGGGAGCGGCCAAGGGTGGAGAGAAAGGGCTAAGGCCGGATAGGGGTAGCAAAGGGCGGATAAAACATAAACTTGATAAGGTAAAATCACGCTAAATAAGATAATTATGTTAAGGGCCGCATTGTGTGGACAGAAGTGGCTAGGTATGAAGACTTTCGTAGAGCAGTACACACATAGCAAGTTAACCGCCTAAGTCTTTCATACCTCTAAAACTAACATATTACATGCGTCTGCTCCTTTCTTCAAGAACGAATAAATGGTTACATTATCTCTACATAACACTGTAGCAAAATTCGAAAAAGTAATTTTTAATAAAGTAACTGTAGACGCAGATGATTGTACTGTCAAACCTTTTATTTGTTGGACAACGTTTCGGCCCATACAGAACAAGTTCAAGGCCCTCATTAGGTTTAATAATTAGTTGCGCAACAAGCAAAAAAAGTAGTTTTTAATTAAGAAATATGGAATTCTTACATCATTTTCAATAAAAGTCTTCTCTACGGTTTCATAGGTGCACCTTTGAAAACTACATTATATAATAGGAGTCTAAAGTCCTGTATCTTTTTCACTATTTTACAAAATTATTTGGAGCGTTTTTAATGCTTTATGTACTTTTATCGTAAATGTAGCTAAAAAACTGTTATTAGCAGTCCTAAAGAAGAGTCTAAAATTGTTTTCATAATAGATGACTTTACCTTACGCGTAAACGTATATTTTTTACACTATAATTACGAGTTAAAAAGTATCAAGTAAATGTATATTATTGCCTTTATGATTAATATACAACGTTAATTACTATTTTAAAGTGTTAAATTCTATATCATATAACTTGTTTTTGACCTGCTTATGTATTATGTATCTAATAGACTATGAGAAATTAATTAAGTATATATTTAGGATCGCGGCGTCATAACTTATGTGTATTCTTTGAAAGTAACATAATAATTTTCTTCAAAAATTTTCTAATAAATAAATGTTTATGTTTATTACTGATTTTTTTTAGGTAAAGATGTTCACTTGATAAGGAAACAAGAAGAAGTATTACAAGAATCTCTTATGATGATACCAGATTGTCAAAGACGTTTACTCAAAGCTTTTGAAGATTTGAAAAAAATGATTGATGCTGAAGAAAACTTTGATGACACTGAAGCATTTTTTGAAGCTAAAAATGTTTTAAAGGAAGCAGAAATTCAGATTAATAAAGATGCATGTATTATTTGAAACAGTTTAGCCTTAAAACGTTCTCAAATATAAAAAACTATTATATCATCCTCAACTTTATGGTAAATAATTTAAAATGCTTTCAGACGAGTTTGAAATTAAAAATCAATTGGAGGCATTAAATTCAACATTAGAATTATGTTTTCCAACTATATCAAAAAAAAAAAAAGATGCTCTTACTTTTAGTGAATTATTGTCTAATAATAAAAATTGTTTTCAAACCGAAAAAAAAAAATTTTTTGTTTCAAACAAAAATGACGTAATCTACTTATGTAGTAAAAACCATCAATTGAAAAACATATCTTCCAAGCTAAATAATTTCTCGATGTATCGGGAGTGGAAAAAACAAAAAGTTGTTGTGGAAAATTTGAGACATGACATTAATGTTTTATTCAATATATCAAGACAAAATAAAGTAAAACATCAGATAAATAATTTGAA